AGGAATGCAAGGCAAGCACTCTACCACTGAGCTACCTTCCCAGCCCATATCCTTATTTATATTTTGATGCCAGTCCTGAGGTTTGAACTTTGGACTTGGGTGCTGTTCTTAAGCTTTTCCTACTCAAGGCTGGAAGTAAGAGTCTCAGGTCTTAGAGACTTTTTTTTTTTTTGTCAGTCATGGGGGCTGAAATCTGGGCCTGGGTGCTGTCCCTCAGCTCTTCAGGCTAGCGCCTTACCACTTGAGCCACAATGCCACTTCTGGCTTTTTTCTGCTTATGTGTTATTGAGGAATCGAATCCAGGGTCTTATGCATGCAAGGCAAGCACTCTACCACTGAGCTAACTTCCCACCCCCTTAAGGACTTTCTTGCCTGGGCTGGCTTGGAACCTCAGTCCTCAGATCTCAGCTTCCTGAATAACTAGGATGATAGGCGTATGCCATCAACCCCTTGACCCCATCTTCTTTGGTGCCAGTCCTGGGTCTTGAACTCAGAACTAGGGTACTGTCCCTGAAATTTTGTACTTAAGACTAGTGCTCTAGCTCTAGTGCTCAAAATGTTAAGCCACAGCATTGTTTCCAGCTTTTTTGTAGTTAATTGGAGATAGAAGTCTCAGGGATTTTCCTGCCCCAGTTAGCTTTTTTTTTTTTTTTAATTGTGAAAATACTGCACAGAGGGGTTACAATTACATGGGCAAGGTAATGAGTACATTTCTTATCAAGCATTGTTGCCTCCTCCTTTGTTTTCCCTTCCTATCTCCCAATCCCCCTCCCACCCCCCCCACCCCAAGTTAGCTTTGAACCACTATTCTCTAATCTCAGCCTCTTGAGTGGCTAGGATTACAGATAGGAGCCACTAGCTTGTGGTTTCCTGGTCTTCTATAGATAACATATCTGATCTCTATATACAAAAAATAAATGACGCTGAGGCTCATGCTGCAATTCTAGCTACTCAGGAGGCTGAGATCTGAGGATTGTGGTTCAAAGCCAGCCCAGATAGGAAAGTCCATGGGCTTATTTATCTCTAAGCACCAGAAAACTGGAGGTGGAGCTGTCACTCAAAGACATGTAGAGTCCCAGCCTGGATTGAAAGAGCTTAGGGACAGTGGCCAGGCCCTAAATTCAAGCCCTATGACTGATCCTCTCCCGCTCAAAAAAAAAAAAAATTGGGGAACAAGCTAGGTGTAAGTGGCTCATACCTATAATCTAGCTACTCAGGGGGGTGAGATCTGGGGATTAGGGATTGAAGCCAGCCTGGGCAGGCCATTTTTTTTTTTTTTTTGGTCATGGGCTTGAACTCTGGGCCTGGGCACTGTCCCTCAGCTCTTCAGAAGGCTAGTGCTCTACCACTTGAGCCACAGCGCCACTTCTGGCTTTTTTCTTTTTGCTTATGTGGTGCTGAGGAATGGAACTCAGGGCCTCATACATACATTCAAGGCAAGCGCTCTACCACTGAACCATCTTCCCAGCCCAAGGCAGGCAAATTCTTGAGACTCTTTATGTCCAATTAATCTCCAAAGAACCAGAGTGAAGCTGTGGCTCAAGCAAAGCTAGTCTTGAACACAAAAGCTCAGGGACAGTTCCAGGGCCCAAAGTATAAACCTTAGGACTAGTGCATACACATATATGGGCGAGTACGCACGCATGCACGCGCACGCGCATGCGCACACACAGAACAGCACTTAACTATGGTAACTGAAATTGGTGTTTTCATTTATTTATACAAATGGACATTTCAACATCCCCAAATACCACATAATTGGAAAGCATATTATAGTATCAGACTATAAAATCAGCAACTAAACCTATTTAATAGCACCTACCAAAAACTGCTTCAGCCATAAAGCCAGAGAGTACAGACTTACTTCCACGAGGCTCAGAAACTGATAATATAACAATAACCTTAACTGTAACAATCATTAAACCACTGACTGAAAGCTTATTATGGCCCAAGTACCATGCCCAACCCCTTACATTTTTTAGCCCACTTAGTCCTGACAACAACCAGCAAGGTGTATTATTATCTTCATTTTAAAGGTCATGGAACTGGGGCTTAAGGAAGTTAAATAACTTGTGGAAGGTTAAAGAGGTCAAATATCTAGTGGGATTTTTATTGTCCATTATGAAATTAGAAAATGTTTTCTTATTCTCTTTGCAGCAAGCTTTACAAGATGGTGATTACTTTGATTACTGAATCTGAAAACAGAAAGGACTTCTGTTATGAACCTTAATACTGGTAAGTGACTTTTTTTTTTTTTTTTTTTTGTTGTTGTTGGTCCTCAGGGTCTGGGTACTGTCCTTAGCTTTTTCACACAAGGCTAGTGCTCTACCACTTTGAGCCATAGTGTCACTTCCAGTTTTCTGGTGGTTATTTGGAGATAAAGACTCATGGATTTTACTGTTCAGGCTGGCTTTGAACGCTGATCCTCAGATTTCAGCTTTCTGAGTTGCTAGGATTACAGGTGTGAGCTACCAGCACCCAGCATTTGTTTTTTTCCAGTCCTGGGGCTTGAACTCTGGGACTGGGCACTGTCCCTGAACTTTTTTTTTTTTTTTTTGATTGGTCTTGAACTCTGGCCTGGGCACTGTCCCTCAGCTCTTCAGGTCAAGTCGAGAGCTCTACCACTTGAGCTTCAGCGCCACTTCTGGTTTTCTGGTGCTTTACTGGAGATAAGAGTTTCAGGGACTTTCCTGCCCAGGCTGGCTTTGAATTGTGATCCTCAGATCTCAGCCTCCTGAGTAGCTAGGATTACAGGCATGAGCCACGGGTGCCAGCTTTTGTCCCTGAACCCTTTTGCTCAAGGCTAGTGCTCAACCACTTTGAGCCACAGCTCCATTCCCCACTTTCTGATGAATAAGTATCTTACAGACTTTCCTATCTGGTCTGGCTTTGAAATATGATCCTCAGATCTCAGCCCTAGGGTGTGTGTGTGTATGTGTGTTTGTGTGTGTATATCTTTTATTATAAACTACTGTGGTCATAAATGGAAAAGCTATAACTATTTTGCTTTAAGTGATCTGACTGCTTCTTTGTTCCCTAATTTTAAAACCCTCTTTCAGTCCTGTTGAAAGGCAGTGTTGGGATCCAGGCATCCCCTGAAGGAGTTGCACATTTACCCACTCCACAGCTGAGCTTTAATTAGACATAGTGTTCCTGACCATGTTGATTTTGATAGATAGAAACTAAAGCTATCTAAATCATATATACAAAAGCAGTTTACTGAATTTCTTATATTGTAAAAATTCAGTTTTCACATGATTGGATATAAAAGGAAGCATAAATTAGCTTCCCCATTTCATAGCATTGCAGCCCAGTGTATATTATTCTTGTCGGAATTCTATGTCAGAAAGGTAAATAGCAAGAACCCCTTTGACTTTAGATCTGTTGGGTCATAGTTCAATACCGTATGTTAGTTCAAACTATTCCTAAAAGGAACCATTGGATGTAGAAATTATAATCTGAATAGATGTTCCAAAGAGAAAATGAGCACTTTATTTCAAATAGACAGTGAATTATTTTGAGCTATGTTCTATCCTTTAATTATTCTATTATATACAGACCTAAACTTCTCCAGGGAAAAGCATATGGTTTAAGGACATCAATAAGCCTTTACAGAATATTAACAAACCAACAATAGATTCATGATTCACTCTGGATTCAATCCAGGGTCTGTGAAAGAACTTAAAACATGGTATGCATTTCAAAAACTGGTAATCATCATTAAAAACCCCAAACTCCTCAGTCCTATAAATTACATATATTAAGTGGGACAGGAGTTTGTGACATGCCGAAGAAATTGATTGCCACTCTTTGAGAATAGTGGCTATTGGCTTTCTCCTTTTTAAAGATTATGTTTTTCTTTTAAACTTACAGCAGAGTTGTAGACTTGTTCCCTTTCTAAATTCTCTTTGTAACTGTGGTTATGGTCTCTCCTTTATTCCTTCATGAGCCTTTTAAAAAATTACTCTTTTCAAAGAAGCAGAACAATTAACCAAGTCTGTCCTTTCTTTTACTTAATCCAGCTTTTGTCAACTCGTTATTTAAAAAAAAATGTGATATGGATTGTCCACCAGAATGGTTTGAACCCACTCCACTCCGCAGCCCCTACAGAAATACATCTGCATCTTTAAATGACTGAAGAAAACAAACACCCAATTAGGACCCTAGTAATAACAAGAGCTGGAGGACTCCCACCCATCCCACCCCGGGACTGGCCTGCTCCCCACGGCCCGTCCCGGGCGGGCCAGCCCAGCCGCCGCACCCGCCCCAGCGCCAGCTGAGGGGCGTCGGGGCCGCTCCCGGTGCGCACAAAGACGCGGCCAGAGCGGGAAGCCACCCCCTGGGTGCTCAGCCGAGGCCCGAGGCGCGCGCCCTCCGCCCCGGCCCGGGCACCGCCGACGCCCGGCCTCTCCCCTGTCTTCCCTCCGCGCCTATGAAAAAGAGAGGGGGGGGGGGAGGGAGAAAAGCCACGCCTCCTTCCCCGCCCGTCTCCTCCCACTGGCTTCCGCTCCGCTCGCGTCACTCGCGCGCTCCCCAATGGCGAGGTGCGATACTGCGAGGTGGGCCGGGCCCGAGCGGGGAGTGGGCGGCGGGTCGGCGTACCCGCTCCGCCGCGGCTCCGCCACCATCGCGGAGGTGCCGCTGCTCCCGCAGACGCTCGCGAGCCGCCCCGCGCTCCGGAGCCTCGTTGTCCTCCCGCACGCCTCCCCGAGACGCTCGCCCCGCCGGGCCTGGGTCCCGCCTCCTCCTCCCCTCCTTCCCCCCTCCTTCTCGCGCTCCCCACATTATCTCGCCTCATTTTCTTTCCTAGTTGAGGGGGAAAAAAATCACCATCCTCCTCAGGGAGCCCCGGGAAAAACCCCCACAGGAAAGCCCGAAGCAGACATGGTCGTGGGCGCCCGCCGCTGAAGGCTTGGCCCGAGCGAGAGGAGGAGGAGGGAGCCTCGGTTGAGTCGCAGCCGGGGTCACGGCCGGGAAGCCCCCGCCGCCCCTCTCCGCAGCCCGGCGCCCCGCGGCCTCCGCCCCGTCCCCGCCACTTTAGCCCCGGAGTCGGCCGCACGCCCCAAGCCTGGATGGTGTAGCGCTTCAGGGGAAGGTAAGTCCTCGGCCCCGCTGTGCGTGCGTGCGTGCGTGCGTGCGGGGCGGCTCGCTCGTCCACACCGCTGTCCTGGGCGCGGGGGGCCGGGCGGACCGAGGGTTCGGCCCCCGAAGCCGTCGCGCGTCCCGGCTTGTCCCCGAGAGACCTGGCGGCTGTGGGGGCCGCCGACGTGCTGGGCCGTCCCGCGAGCCCGGGCAGCGGGGTGGCGGCGAATAAAGGGCCAGGTGACCGAGCCCCTGTGTCCTCCGTGTCTCGGGGCCACCCTTGCTCTCTCTCGACCGCTGCTTCCATCTCTCCTTCAAACTCTTTCCTGCCCCAAAATAATTGGCTGAACTGTGTGTGTGTGGGGGGGGGGGCAGGGAGGGGAGGAGAAGGAAGTCCAGGACTGAAGCCATCGATTGCTGGAATGTTTATGAATTAATTTGGGGGTCTTGGGGGCCGGTGGACTCGGATTAAAGTATCATTTTTCCCATTAGGGGAAGAGCCTTTCTTTGTGTTTTTAGTCTGCAGTTCTGGGTGTGATTACAAAATTAGGAATCTACCTCCCCCCGCCCCCCCCCCCAACCACTTGGGTTAGAATTCTTACTATTAGGTTTTAGGTTTTCAGTTCTGCTGTCTGAGAGTGGCTTCTGTTTTTTTCTTTTTTCTTTTAAGGTTAATGAAAGAAGATAGTTTTATCTAGAATTGGGTGTGTGAATGTGTTGGGGGGAGTTTTGCAGGTTTACTTTGAAACTGGTTGCTTGCAAAGTTGTTGAAAGGGAAACAAAATGATTCATTGTTGGAATTGTCATTTTTCTCTGTCTCTTTTCCAAGGTTTGCTTACAATTTTTGCTGGATTACAGACTTCAAACACTGATTTAAGCAAAATGTGTCCTTGAGAAACTGGGTGCTTTAAATGTTTCAGTATGTGCTGCTATTTTAAGATACATTTTTAGAAAGTAGTTTTGTAGAAATCCTGAAAATAGCCTTCTCCAAAGCAATTTTTTTAAACATAAAAAAGATAGTAAAAAAAAGGTGAACTTGGTGAATTACAAAACATTCATTTAGTGTTAACACAAACTAGTGCAGCGTATGTTTAAATTTGGAGCATTTTTTATAATTGCTTTCTATTTAAAGGGAGATCTTTTTGTCTGCTGTACACTGATTTCTTTTAGTCTTAGTCTGTTGGGGGAGGGGTGAGAGAATGGATCCATACAATAATAAAATCATCTTTGGGTAGATATTTCCTTCCATGGATTTATTTGCTTGTTGGTTTCCTCCCACTGTAAATTATGAACCAGTTTTGATTTTGATGGCCCAGTCTGAGTGGAAGCTGGCTTCCAGCTCTGTTGTTGAGGTAAAGGGAAAAGAGGCACACACAAACACACACACTCACACACACACAATGCCAGGCTGAGGGCTCATTGTTCTTTCCTACACACATTCATTCTCTCCCATATTTGGGACTAGGTTTCCACAGACAAACACAGCTCTTTTTGGGAGAGAGAAGATGGGGGAAGGGTGTGCTTTCCTTTTTCAGCTTTCTTTCTCCTATCTCATGTCTGGCCTTTTTTTGCAACCTTGCAAGGCAGAAGAGTACATGGGAAACTAAATGACACTCAAACACACATTCAGACATTCTTCTGTCTCCCCCTTTCCCTCTTATAACCCTGTTTTCTGCTACTGTTTCTTTTCTTTTTTTGTATGTAAAGATAAACTCTTTACGTGGTGGCCTTACATTGTACTCTCAGTGCTTTCATGTTCCTCAGTGCCCCTGACTTTGTTGGGAACAGTGAATTAATTGTCCACTTGGCTTACTGTAGTGAATGTCTTCTTTTCTGAGTAGAAATAGGTTGTCTCTCTTAAAATTATAAAGATTGTGTTTGAGGTTAGTATTTAGCAAAATGATTGTGTGTGTGTGTGTATTAGTGATCTGATCGTTTGGTGGTCAGGTTGCTGCTGACTGTTGACCTATCAGTGTGGTGGTTGTTGTTTTTGTAAATAGAGATTTTAAGAAAGGATCTGTTTTTCTGTTTTGGGGGGCTAGCACAGAGGCTCTCAGAACACTGAACATTACTTAGAGTGCATTTAGGGTTATTCTAGCTCTGGGTCCGGATGAATGTTGGTGTGGATAAATGCTTGTAGGCTGCTGAATAGCACCTTCTACTGGTTAATTGCTTTAATGAATTCAGAGGAAGAGGTTGGGGGAGGGGATTAACCGCTGAGGTTTAATGATTTTCTTTGAAAGGCAGTTGCTGGGCCTTTCTGCAAATGCCACTTCCACAGCTGCTAATGCAGCTGCCCTTTGACAGACACGGTTGCATCACGGCTTTATTATGTTATTGGCTGTGTCTTGACATTAATTTGTTCTGTTATCAGAGGTATTTGCACATCGTGACTTCAAAGAACTCTTTCAAATAGATACTTTTCCATCTTTTATGAGAAATACAGTGTTTTGAAATAGTAAATTAAATAAGGGGCTTGTTTACATTCTAGGTGTTGGAAACTCTGTGCACACACACACACACACACACACACACACACACTATAGCAGTCTTTCGAAAAGTTTTAATGCCATTAAAAAAATCAAACTTAGCCGGGCGCTGGTGGCTCACGCCTGTAATCCTAGCTACTCAGGAGGCTGAGATCTGAGGATCACGGTTCAAAGCCAGCCCGGGCAGGAGAGGCCGTGAGACTCCTATCTCCAATAAACCACCAGAAAACCGGACGTGGCGCTGTAGCTCAAGTGGTAGAGCACTTGCCTTGAGCTGAAGAGCTGAGGGACAGTGCCCAGGCCCAGAGTTCAAGCCCCATGACTGACAAAAAAAAAAAAAAAGAAAAAGAAAAACAACATATAGAAAGTCAAAGTCTAGCACTGCATGCAGATTGTCTTCAGGAACCAGGTAGAGGGATGGGGGGAATTGGGTGGGAAATCTTAATAAAATCATCACTTCTACATATGTCGGTGTGTTTAATTGAAGTAATGTTTTCAGCAGTCATCAACATAAATATAAATAGGTCTGATAGAATGGTTTGTGTATTATATACATATTTATATATTTTAAATAAGAGGCTAGAGAAAATTTGAGTATCTGAACACATTAGAAGAGGGCTGATGAGTTTGTGCTCTGTCTTCTAAACCAAGGTGCAGTTTCAGAGATACTTTTTTTGGAGGGGGGAGGGTGGTCAGTCCTGGGGCTGGAACTCGGGGCCTATGGGTGCTGTCTCTGAGCTTCTTGTCTTCAAAGCTAGCATTCTAGCACTTTGTGTACTGGTACTTTCAGTTTTCTGGTGGTTAATTGGGGATGAGTCACACAAATTTTCTTGCTCAGGCTGGCTTTGAATTACTATCCTCAGATCTCAGCCTCATGAGTAGCTAGGATGACAGGTATAAACCACTGGAGCCCAGCTCAGAGATACTCTTGATAAATGCCTGGAAGGATTTTGTTATCACAGTCTAACCTATCCCTATTATTTTAATGTAATGGACAGTTAGTGTGTACCTGTAGAATAAACATCATCTCTTCCAGATTGGTTACTCCTAGGAATGTGATTTCTTTTTCCTTTTTGGCAGTAGTGGGCTTCTACTGAGGACCTGTGGGTTTGGTCCACTTGCTTGCTAAGCAGGTGCTCTGCCACTTGAGCTACACTTCTAGCCCTGCACTGTGCCTGGAGATAGAGTGTCCAACTTTTCTTCTCAGGTTGGCTTTAAACTTTGATCTTCAAGCACTGAGCCTCCTGAACAGTAGGATTACTATTAGTAGGATTACTAATGAACCATCTGCATTGGGCTATTATGTAATTTCTTTTTTTTTTTTTGTCTGTCATGGGGCTTGAACTCTGGGCCGGGGTGCTGTCCCTGTGCTCTTCAGCTCAAGGCGAGCACTCTACCTGATGGGGCTGGCTTTGAACCTCTATCCTCAGATCTCAGCCTCCTGAGTAGCTAGGATTACAGGTGTGAGTCACTGGAGCCTGGCCTATTTTGTAATTTCTGATTCACCTTATTGCCAAAACTTGAAGTTTGGGCTGGGGTGTGGCTCATGTGATATAGAGTATCTGATAAACTCAAGGCCCTGAGTTTGGACCCCAGTACCCTCACCCCCCAAAAATAGAAGCATAATTTGTAAACGTGAGCATCTTTCTTAGTGGAGTACATCAATTCAAATGTATTATTTATTTACTTTTTGGTGGTTTTGGTGCTTGAACTTGGGGCCTGGGTGCTTGCTGTCCCTGGGCTCGTTTTGCTTAAGGCTAGTGCTCTACGACTGAGCCACAGCACCACTTCCAGTTTTCTGGTGAATAACTGGAGATGAGAGTCTACGGACTTTCTTTCCCTCCTGGGCTGGCTTAGAATCAGGCAGTTTCAATCCAACATTTGTTGCCAGTATTTTTTTGTAAGGAAGCTAGAATAGTAATTGAGAACCCATTTCAGTTAAAACAGTAATCCAAATCAAGAAATAAAATTCTAACTTCTTGTTTCCTCCTCCTCCTCCTCCTTCATAGTACTAGAGTTGGTAAACAAAGTTTTTTTTTTTTTTTTGGTCGGCCGTGGGGCTTGAACTCTGGGCCTGGGCACTGTCCCTCAGCTCTTCAGCTCAAGGCGAGCGCTCTACCACTTGAGCTACAGCGCCACGTCCGGTTTTCTGGTGGTTTATTGGAGATAGGAGTCTCACGGTCTCTCCTGCCCGGGCTGGCTTTGAACCGTGATCCTCAGATCTCAGCCTCCTGAGTAGCTAGGATTACAGGCGTGAGCCACCAGGGCCCGGCCAAAGTTTTTTTTTTTTTTTTTTTTAAATGCCTTAGTAGGCAGGCACTTATGGCTTACGCTTGTAATCCTAGCTACCAAAAAGCCTGAAGCTGAACTGAGGCTCAAGTCTTGAGCAAAAAAGCTCAGAGACAGCATCGAGGCTCTGAGTTCAAGACGCAGGACTGGTACACACAAGACACAAAAAAACCTCAATAATAGCTGCTAAATCCTGCAATAACTGTATGTAATATTGAACAGATATTGAACAGAA